TCAATCGAGCTAATCATTGGATTTTGATGTACACTCTTAGCTAGGACTTTTTGATCTTGCGTTTTATCAATTTTGGGGGTTTTTTCATCCTGTCTTCTTTCAATTTTGGGGGTTTGTTGAAATTACAGATCACTTATTGTTAGAACTCTCAATCGAACTCGAGCCTTGTTGAGATTGAGTTTTTATGATCTCAGTGTTTGCTAAGAAGTAATTTGTGGATGCATCTGGATTCGCTTGCCAAAAAGTTTAAAGTATTAATTCAAAAATAGCAATTAACTTGTCTTTCAATGGTACCAAATAGAATTGTACTATTGTACGGTAGTCAAGTGATACCCATTTGAGATAAACGGTTGTTTTAGGAGAATGTATAATCATGAAAGAGGGATTTATAATCATGTTAGAGTCTTTTAAAGTATCGGGTTAGAACCAACTCCTTGGTAGACGGTTTGAGTATTCTGATCATTGTCCTCTGAACCCTTACAGAACTACAAAGACACCGATTACAACTTCCATCTTTATTAGTGTTATTCTTAGAAATGAAGGAGAGCTTCTCGTTGAATAGAAAAAAGTCCTTTTTTTAATCCTGAAGGGTTATTTCTTATTATTTTCTTATTGTCTTAATTATGTCTCGTAATACATATACATATACATATATGCATGCATACATATTACATACATACACACACACACAAAACAATATGTGTTTTTCTTCGTCTCTGAATATGTAGATAAAGGAAATGTTAATGACGTCTGATTCTTTGAGAGTTGAATATTTTTTAAGTGTTGCTTTGCTGAACTATATGCGGACTTAAGTTTCTTCATACTCAAATGTTAATTTTGTTTAAAATCAGTTAATTTGTGTTATCTGTTGTATTTTGTTTAATTTTATTAATCTTATGTAGTTATGTAATTTTCATCATAGTTAATGGAGTCTAATTCTACCCATGATTCTATAGCCGATAATGTAGAAGCAGATTCATCTAATGAAGAATTAGAAGACATGTTTAGTCCTATTCAGAAAAAATCAAAAGCGATAATTGTTGGAAGTCGAAAAAGAAAATTAACGTCCAAAGCTTGGAAAATAATTGACCTTGTTCAAGAGCTAGGTGGGAAACAATATTCAGTATGTAAGAAGTGTGGAGTCAAATACATCGCCGAAGGTAACCATGGGACAAAGAACATGTTAAGACACATGAAAATTTGTAAGAAAGCTACTAGAGAAGATATTGAGGGTCTATCTAACTCAAAAGATTCTATAATGAGTTCCTCAAGATTTAATTTTGACCCGGATAAGTTTAGGGAGCTCTTAGTCTCGGCCATCATTATGCACGATTTGCCATTTCAAT